GCGTGACAGAGTTGGAAATAACATCAACATTCAAATTCCCTCCAGGGAAGACAACAATAATAACAACTGTAAAAGGACCTGAAATCACAGGTATATCCGTCTATTTGTAATATATTTAATTTTAAAAATAAAGAAAAATAAGGAGTGAGAACTCATATCCAATAAATACAAATAATTTAATAGAATGTACAAAATTATTTATAACCAATATTAAATATATATATATATATATATATTTATACATATAAATATATTTTAGATTTTCTTGTTATAATAAAATTTGAATTATTTTAGTAGTGACTAGTCAGGATAAATGAATATTAGTATAATATCAGTCAACAAAAAAGATATTTCACCTTAAGTCCTTACTCATTTAAATTTCCAAGGTCAAACCTCCAACTACAAATTAATTCAAACTTTATTCCTTATGGCCATAAAATAACATTTATCTTTATAATATATGAAGAAATAATAAAAAAATGAGCTTAGGATATTTTAACAAAGCTATATTATAGTTAGAATTAATATAAAATAATTAAGCTAAATAAGTTTAAATATTTGTAATTATTTAAAATTTAATATAGTATAGTTTACAAAAATGGAATATATTAAAGAATATTAATTTATTAATTGACTGTGATAAACATCATAAAATAATTAAATAAAATAAACTAGGAACACCTCATTAATTATTAAGAGTAAAAAGTATTTCAAATTAAGCAAGTAAATGTGGTTAGGGATATCTCACTAAATAAATATACATAAATATAACATAAATAAACAAACATAATAGTATTTAAAATTTTAAAAGGATAAAGATATTCTTCCCCTTACCTTAGTAGAAAAATGAAATGACTTGGAGGTACTCTAAAATTGTATATTTCTTTTCTCCTTTCCCTCTTTTCTTTTTTTCTCTTCCTTCTTAATATTCTTTCTCTCCGTAAGTTCTCTCTTTCTCTCTTTTCAAAATTTTTTAGTTCCATATTCCCCCACCACATGGCCTATTTATAACAAATTTGGTAATGATTACTTAGTTTGCATGTAATGATACATTTTTCCTTTTTGGTTGATTTCCAACCATTGTTTATTTGTAGATAGGGTTTTTTACTAATGGATATGCTTATCCATACATTTAATGTAGATAAGGTATCTTTTTTTTTTTAAAACTTTTTTTTTATAATATATATACATAAATTTAAAATAATTATTTATATTAAACACTTAAAAAATTTAAATATTTATTTTTCATAATAGTAATTAAAATATTATTCTGAAAAATATTATAAATAGGATTTTAAAATTTTATAATATCATTATTTTTTAATAATTTTCCATTTTAGTTTCCTAGAAATATTGTGATAAAAATTCTAATGCATTAAAATTATATAAAAATATTGTATTTAATCTCTATTTATTTTAGAATATGACAACTAAAAATTTAGATTATTATTTTAAGAATAATAATAATAATAAAATTGAGAATATTGTATTAGAAATTTAGGATATTACATACCTTACTTGATTGGTCGCTATATACATGTGCGCCTCGACCTTACCTACACATGATACCACATACAACCTAGAGGAGGCAACTAAAAACAACTCACTCATTCATAAACCAACTTAGTTACTAAAGGATTCAACACAATATATATCTGCACAATGAGATATTAAAGTTTGAAAACATCTTTAACTCTCCACTAGTTTTAATATATCGCAGTTAAAACATGTATCTAACCCATATATCTATAACTTATCAACATAACAACTTTATCAACATTCAACATACAACTTATCAACTTAAACAACTTAAACATCGTACATCTTTACAACATAAACAACCTAGAGGAGGCAACTAAAAACAACTCACTCATTCATAAACCAACTTAGTTACTAAAGGATTCAACACAATATATATCTGCACAATGAGATATTAAAGTTTGAAAACATCTTTAACTCTCCACTAGTTTTAATATATCGCAGTTAAAACATGTATCTAACCCATATATCTATAACTTATCAACATAACAACTTTATCAACATTCAACATACAACTTATCAACTTAAACAACTTAAACATCGTACATCTTTACAACATAAACAACTTTAAGAGAGCAAAATCAAAATAACTTAAGCAACTTAAAATAATTCACAACTTTACAACATATTCAACTTACTGCATATTAACACATATCATCTTACAACATCACTTATACAACTTATTCATCATCAAACAATTGTTAAAACAACTTAAATACACAACTTTTCATCACACGACTCGCGCCTAACATCACTAATTAGGCACCGGACACCATTGAGGCAAAAGGCTCCCTATCTTGCCCACACCTAGCGTCGCACCACTCATGCTCGGCGTGATTAAGACAAAGAGTGCCCCACACTCCCGCACTTGGCATGGTAACACCCACACATAATCCCAATTAGACAGAGAGCTCTCTACTTGACTCACAGTCGACGCCACACACTAGCGTCCAACATGAATCTAGGTAGAGAAGAATCTTTCTCCTTACACTCAATGCCATTCAACCCACACCTGATGTGATTCCAACTCGAGGCGAGTCTTTTTCCTCATGTCCAACACCATCAATCTTGCATTTGGCACGAGGAAGACAAAGACCCCTCTTTAGAGTCACGCCCGATGTCTTGAAGGTGCACCTGACACGATATTAAATTTTGCACTTGTGTAGAATCTGATTTTACCAAATCTACCTAAAAATCAACAAAATTTCCAAGATGAAATCCCATTCCGCACATATACGACCTATACAACTCAAAAACAACTCAAGAAAACATGCAACTAATAATCTGCAATAATCATCAACTACACTTCATGCACAATGTTTTTCCAACCTCAAGTTTCACTACTCTTCAATTTAAAACATAAATTCCACACAACTAATGATCAACATGTTCAATTCGTCATCATTATCACACAATCAACTAGAATTTTGAGCACAAACTTCCCTTACCTCTTAGAGAAAAACTTGCAAAAAGGAGAAGAAAAAGCGACTCTACACACCACTAGCTTGAAGTTTTGACCCCGAAGTTTAGATTCTTTGCCACCTTCACTAGAATCAACTAAGAAAATGGTAGAAAAGGAAAGGTTCAAGTGAGAAGGAAGAATAAAGAAGGAGGAAGGAGGAGAAAGTCTCTCTCTAACTTCTCTCTATAGCTTTTGGAAAACTTGAATTATGAATCTTTTTTTTTGTTGAAACATCTCCTTTTATATCTTCTTAAGTTGACTCCTATTATCGCTGGTCCAACCCTATAGAGATCAATCACTCTCAGGGTCTCCCGATCTCAAAGCTTTCCACAACAACTGTCAATCAAACAATAAAGATTATGAATTAACAACGTTGCAACATTGATTTTGTCTTTTTAAAATAATGATCATTTTCAATGTTATGACCTAATTTTGTTTCAATTTTTAATTGATTGAAGACATGAAATTTATAACATTAGATGTTTCTATATGAAATTATGAAATTTAATTGACCCTTAAATTCAAAAGGGGTTATAAACATAGTAAAAATTATGTGAAATATATATCTCACAAGCATTTTTAATTTTTGTTAGTCTTTTTTTTCCTTTTTTTCTTTTTTAATTTCAAGCAAGATAACTATTGTAATAATTGTTTTTATTGACATATTTATTTTAATATAATAAATAAGTATAAACAGTTAACTTAACTTATTATATTAATACAGTTACGAAAAGATTAAAATTTGATATTATGGCAATTGTAATTATTTTTAATATAAAGCACACATATAATTAATACACATCATTTAATAAATATTTTTATTCAAAAGGTGCCTATACATATATAATATATAACCACTTGGACAATAATTTATAAAAGTTTGACCAAGATAGCCTTGCCAAAACTCGTTTATAATAAGGAGTAGTTTGGGCTAAAAAGTTCTGCATTTTAATTTTAGCTTGAAATCTAGACCAAAAATCTTATAATTTATCAGTTTAGACTAAATTAATAAACTTGATCCATTTTACCAATTTTAAGTTGGGGTGAGCATGTGTCAGGTTGGATTGAACTTATTTTTGTCCAAACTTGAACCAATTTTTTAACTGGATTTTTTTTAAACCGATCTAACCAAAACTAAAAATATATATGAATAAAGTTGGATTGACCTAACTTTGATACACTATATTAATTTTAACATCATGTATAATTAAATTGTTGTAAACTAAAAAAAAGAACATAACTTAAATTAAGGTACATTTTATAATATATATTTCAAAATAAACAAATTCATTATAAATACAATATCATGCTATAAAAATATTAAGAACTAAATAAATTTTATTAATAATGTACAATAATTATATATATATATATATATATATTAAAATAATATTATATATTAAATTAGATTGAGTAATTTAAAATATTACTCAAATTCGTCTTAAAAATCTACCGAATCCAATTTTAAAGTTTAAATTTGTTCAAATAAACTTTATGCTTAGATTAGATCGAATTATTCTCACTCCTAATTCTAACTAAAATACTAATTAAAAATATAATATTTCTATTCTAAAATTGTTTAGAAATTAAATTCTAATAAAAATTTCAAAATAACTAGATAGTTTTAACCTAAAAGAAATAGTTTTTGAAATTAACTAAAGTGAAAAAAGAAAGTATATAGATCAATGGTATAAATAATTTTTACGTTATTATCTAATTACGAACAGTCGGAACAGACATATACGATGAATCATTGATATTAATAATAATTACTTAAAATTTCATAAGAACGATTATTTTTTATTAGTTAAGTGTGTAAATTTCTTTTACATAAATATTCAACTCATGTTAATGATTTACTTTTGGCTCCTATATCCGAATTATTCTTTGCCGGGTCAAAATTATCTCATTTTAAAGCAACGAACTCCAAATGTAATATTTTTAAAACCCTCAATTTTTTTTAATTTTATTTTCTAAATATAAATAGTAGAAATTGAGGAATTGCTCTTTGCGAAGGGAAAAGAAAGAAGAGAGAGAAGCTGCGCACCTTTCACACTAGAGCTGAAACTTGCATCGCCATTCCCACAAAGATCGCAAAAACAACACTTGAAACTCAAACACCAATTCCTCGTACGAGGCTTCTCTTTTTCGTTACCAATTCTCGTGTTTAAGGTTTGGTCACCATGCCCTTTCCCCCCTGCACCCGTTTTTCAATGCACTTGATCACTTTTCTCTCAAAGTTTGTCCCTTTTTTGTTTATTCTTTTATGGGTCTTTGTTTATTTCATGGGTCCGCTTCAATTTATGTCTACCCTAGGTTTGTGTTTTACCGGTTTTTTCATCCATTCGGAATACCCTTTATTTTGGATTGGTCAACTTGGTCATTTTTGTACAATAATGAATATTGGGTTGTCTTTTTTTTTTTTTCTTCCTCGGAATTTTTTTTTGGATGTTAGATGAAGGGTTTTTAACGTCTTATGAATGATTCTTGTGTTGTTAATTCGCTATACTCGATGGGTGGATTTGTGTTTTTTTCCCCTTATATTTTAATTAACTGTTTTGTTATTATAATTATGTGTTTTAGTTTCAATATGGGGTCATTTTGTTCTACTTTGATGGTTGGTTTTTTGATATTTTACGTGTCCTTTGGTTTCTGTCCTGAAATTTCAGATTTGGGTGAAATATTGATTATGGAATTTAATTGATGTGATCTCTTAGATGACACTGTTCTGTGGTTTTTGGGTTGTTTTTGATATCAGTGTATTGTTAAATGTTGATCAATTAGTATTAGGGCTTCAGTTGATTTTAATCGACTCTGAATTTTGATTTTGTATTAATTTCTTTGAAGGGCTTGAAGGAATATGCAACTATCTCTTCAGACTGAATTAGTTCAGGTTTTTGACACTTCAGCTTTTTTTGTTTGCTGTTGATAATTTGCATTCCTCAGTCTGTAAAAAGAAAATGTTGTCATGAGAATAACATTCTGGTTGGTTCCATGTTTGCTTGCACTTGCACACTTAAATGTTCCACGTTATTCATTATTACCTTTGCTACATATAACAGATTTATTTTTGTCTTTTACCATTTTCAGCTGTCTATTATCCAGGACACAGTTTTCTTGATACATTTCCAAGTTTTTATCTCCATGTTTTGATTTTGAAGAATAAGGAGCATGAATATGCTTTTGGTGTAAGTGGCTTGTATATGGCTTCGGGGATTGTGATTGTAAACAACATGGAGGATATTCAATTGGATATCAGTTGGGATGATGTCGTCTGTCCTATATGCTTGGATTTTCCTCACAATAGTGTACTCCTTCAGTGCTCATCTTATGATAAAGGATGTCGAGCTTTTGTATGTGATACAAATCATTTGCACTCAAATTGTTTAGATCGCTTTAAAAATGCATGTGGCATGCCATCCTCTCCGGTGTCTAATGAAGCTTCTTCTGTAAGTAGTGATCCCGAGGTGTCAAATGGTCAATGCAACCTGACTTGCCCCTTGTGTAGAGGCGAGGTTTCTGGGTGGATCATAGTTGATAAAGCTCGTGCACATCTTGATGAGAAGAAGCGTTGTTGTGATGAGGTGCATTGTACGTTCAAGGGAAGTTACTTGGACCTACAAAAACATGCTGAACTTGAACACCCCCATGCGCGGCCATCAAAGATTGATCCTGCCCGCCAGCTTGATTGGGAGAATTTTCAACAATCGTCAGAGATCATAGATGTTTTGAGCACCATTCATTCAGAAATCCCGCGAGGGGTTGTTTTAGGAGATTATGTGATTGAATACGGGGATGATGATGCTAGAGATGAGTTTGAGGACTTCCCTGGAGATGAAGGCAACTGGTGGACCTCTTGTATTCTGTACTTGGACCACTTCAGGAGATCCAGAAATAGAAGAAGAGCAAGAATCAGTAATGCTAGAAGGGGTAATCACCGTTTAAGTTACGATACTTCAAATTCTGATGAAGGTTCTGTAGCATCGGTGGAGTATGCAGATTATAGGATAGAAGAGATCGATGATGAGTTTGTTAGTAGTGCAAATGGCTCTTCAAGGAGCAGCAGTGGTTATCGCAGGTGCGTAGACTTTTCCTTTTTTATTCACTTTGCATCTTTCAATATAGTAATATTAATTTGCTTTAGATCTCATGTCTTAACTTCCTGGGTTGTTAACAATTTCAGTATAAGACTAACATGCAGAACTTTTTCACTCTTTCTTTTGGTATATTGAAAAATAGGTTTTAAGTGCTAAAGATGAATTTTTAAACATTCTAAACAATTTACTATTTTCTACCGTTCATTTTTCAATTTTTTGTGTCTTCAATGTTAATAATCTAACTTGTCATTTAAGTAAATGGTGTGTCATTTGCATTACTGCAAAAATATAATTATAGTTGTACATTCTGTACTAATTAGCTTTTTTAAGTTATTATTCAATAGTTCTTTTTTAGGCCACCACTTTCCAATGATTCAATGTGATTGACTATCATTCTTAGGAGCGACTTGGTGTATTTGATTAAGTGTTTCATTTGTGTTTGAACTTTGAATTACAATGATTTTCTTGAGTTTTATTTGGATTTTCAATATTCTTATTTCAGTAATGTCATGCACAGATCTCAGAGACGTCGTTCCCGCTTCTATGACAATTAGGTATGCGTTGGTGTTCAATAATGAGTTTATTTGGATAAACTTTTCTAGAAACACTTCTATGAGAGGAAAATAAGAAAGAAAATTGAAATAAATTTTTTCATAAGTTAAAACTAGCTTATACATGAGTTAAAATAAGATTTTGGAAAAATAGATAGAAGCATACTTCTACAAATTAATTTCAGTTTATGGAAGAAACTTATTTCATATTTCCTTCTTATTTTTCTCTCATAGAAGTGTTTATGAAAAAGTATACCAAAGTGACTAAATATCCTTTTGTTTCATTACCTTTAAACTACTTATGAATTTTCCCTTAGTTTGCAGGAGGTATATGAATTGAAGGGATGCAAAAGAAGGGACATGGGAAACCAGCCTGTGTTTCCATGCAAAGATTAAGTTTAGTCTGTCTATTGCTTTTACCATGAGATGTGGTCGTTGAGAGACTATAAATTTGGCAGATCGATTTGGTCACATACTCAATTTCTTATCTTTTATGCTTCTTAGCTTCAAAATCACATTTTCTATCTGAATCTAAGGAAGTGTGCTAGCCATTACAAGCCTGTTAAGTTCAGTTCCTGATAGGCAACCATAGTGATTTTAGCCAGCATTTTGCTGCTTAACTTTGGAATAATGATTTTTTTTTTCCTGTTATTTTCCCTGTACATATAGGATATAGATAATTGATTGTGATATGGTAGAATATCATAAGAATGACAGTTTCTATGTCACTGAAAAATTGTTCTATATTTTTCCCATTTACTAATTGCCCATGTGACTTCATATATGAACATTTACACATTCTTACATTTGTAACTATGCACAATTGTACTCGTGGTTTCGGTTTGGGGGTGAAGGCTAGGATGGGAGAGTTTTTAACCACTAAATCTATTAGATTTTAAATCAATTGTTGAAATGTTTTTTTTTTTGTAAATTTTACTTTCATATTTTTCTTTTCTAGCATTCTCTTATTTATCCCTTTTATCTTCTCCAATTTTATGCCAAAAATAAATCATAGTCATCCAATTTTATATTTATATAATCCAATTGATCTGATTTGTTTCCAGTTAGAGATATGGAAAGATTTCCCATCTAGCCTCCACTTTAGTTTGGATTAGCTTTGGTTTCACATGAACTTTATGTTGTCAAAATATTTAACAGAACTGTTTCTGAAATTTCGGTGCAAATATAAGAATAGTGTAAAAACAATAATTGTGTAAGAAACAAGAATTGTGCATTTGTGAACTTGAATATAAAGTAAAAAATTTCTGAAGACGGCTATAACTTGAATGTTTGGTTTACATATGAAATTAGTTCATTACACTATAGTACACATTCCAATGTAAAATCTAATTGAGATTAATTTCAAAGTGTATTTTATTTATATCTAATGATTTTAAATTTAACTTACTTAAAATAAATTTTAATCAACTTTGAAGCAAATAGGCCAAGGAAAAATCAATTTGGGTTGGCATGAATGATGAAGGACTCATGTCATTTAATCAAATGGTCAAGATTTGAATCTTGACTTTTGTGAATGCAAAAAATTTAAGTTGGGAGAGGATATTTACTTATTTGATGTTTGTTAAACTTTTGAAGGAGATTGTCTTTGTGTTCAACGCAAAAAATACCTTGGTAATAAATAAAAAAAATAGGCCAAGTAAGAGCCTCTCTAGTTTAGAACAAAGTTAATTTTATGGGCTGGACTATTTAAATGTAAAATCTATGATTGATATAATCTATTTTTGGTAGGTTGTGACACCCTTACTACCCCAACACATATTGTAACAATGTAAATAAGTTAAAGAATAAATCTTTTAACGTTGGTAAAAGGGTTCACATAAAAATCTTCACAAATGTTCTTCAATATCCAAAATGATTGAAAATAAATAAATTAGAAAATGAAACATAAGAGTTTACAAATTTTTTTAAAAAAATAATAAATACAGCTCCAAATCCATATAAAAATTTCATGTCCTAGAAATCCTCTGCCTCGATATCACAATATCAGAGCATACCCACAATTCAACCGTTGACATTCTAGATGTCACTCAGCCGAATCTTCCTCACTTAAAACATCCACAAGATGTACGGTGAGAAAAGAAAACATCTATATGAAAAACACACAAAGAAAAACACAACATAATCTCATCATAACTCCTTAATGAAATATTCACAAGCATTTATATATATATATATATATATTCTTCACATCTCAATTACATCAATCCATCACAATCCACCCAAATCTTACAATTAACACTATGTCAAGGCCACGCCACAATTGACATAAGTGATACGGGTTAATTGTCTCACTCATCCCATACCATGCCAGGGTCACACCATCCCTGTAGCATCACTTACCCAGGAGTCGTGCCATCCCTGGTCATTGATGTGAGGAACCACAATCACATCACAATCCACACAAATCTTGCAATTAACCCTATGCCAGGGCTGCCATACTTGACATAAGTGATACATGTTAATTGTCTCATTCATCCCACACCATGCCAGGGTCACGCCCTCCCTGTAGCATCACTTTCCCAGGGACCATGCCATCCCTGGTCATTGATGTGAGGAACCACAATCACAATCATATTCACATTCATCACATCTCATCTTATAGCTCAATAACATATCACATACACACAACGGATAAGTCCAACAAAATAAGGGTTTACACACCCCTCAAGCAATTCACATCTAGATCATCAATTCTTATCAAGTAATATAACAATAACATTCATAAATTAATATAATAATCAATGGAATTACCAATTTAATATAACCTTAACATAAATGGTAAAACCCCTAATTATTCCAAAACCTAACTCACAAACACTTTTTTATAATTTTGTTCTCTCTCCCAAATCATCATTCTTACAAATTAAATATATATTCATAATCCTAAATTCATACAGAATCACATAAGACCAATAATTCTTCAAACAGAAATAATTATAAAATTACTCATAATCCTACAAGCTTCCTCTTCTACCCAATTCTCTCATGTAACTTTGCATACAAATAATCCCCTTTTCCCCCGTACCTGGATAAATAGTAGCTGAAACTAAGGATCTGGTTGATCTCCTCCGCTGGGTTCCCCTTAGTCTTTAGAGAATGTAGAAGGAAAATAAGAGAATGTCGAATAAAGAAGTCAGAACTGAAAGAAGTCAGAAATGAAAGGTGTGCCTTTTTGGAGTGCCATAGCTCTCTATTTATAGGCATCAGGTGTCGCCGGAACGGCCCGTTTCAAATCCGGAACGGCTCGTTCTGGACTCTGACGGCATGTGTAAAATTCACATCCAAAACGTCCTTTTCTCAAACCAGAACGGCCCGCTCTGGAGTTGCACCTAACCCACAATGACCATATTTGGAACGGCCCGTTACAATTTGGGAACGGCCAATTCTGGGTTACTAACCACCCCTATTGGGCCTTTGGGCCCTCAAACAATCTGTGTAGAAAATTTTGTGTACTCATGTTTAGTATGGTATAAATCTAAGGCAGAACATCATAAGCTTTTAGGACTTTTGTAGCCTTTAGATGTCCCTGTTTGGAAGTGAGATAATGCATCTATGGACTTTGTTATCGATTTGCCTAGGGCGTTTAGGAAGAATCTTGAGTTTAAGGAAGGAGTCACAGCGAAACCTTTCATTCGGGAAATTCGAGGACGAATTTCTTAAAAAGGGGGAGGAGAGTATTGTAACATCCCATTTTTCAAAAAAGGTTATTATTATTATTATTATATGGTATTTGGTCAGAGTTATTTTTATAATTATAGAGGAATATTATTTTGTACGTTTTAAATAATTTTTATTTTAGATAATTATTTTATACGTATTAAATAAGTATTTTTTATTAACATTTTAAATAATTATTTATATGTTTTAAAGGATAATTTCGGAGTTTATAAATTATATATATTTTATTATAAGATCTAAATAGTTGATTTTATATGATATTTTAATATTGAAATTATATTATTATGTTTTGGGTCAGAAATATATTATTATTATTATTATAGAGAAAAATATTTTATAATATACATGTATTTATTTTATTTTGTTATTTTGGGAAAAAGAGAAGCAAGTTAGAAGAAAAGGAAAATGAGTTGGGTTAACACAACCCAATGAATTAATTTTAAGAAAGGGGTTCGGTAGAGTTAACCCTATCTGCCTCATTTGCGTTCTGAAGGGTTAGGAAAGAAAGAGAGGAGAAATAAAAAGCTTTGAGGAAGAGTGCTTGGGAGGTGCTCAAGAAGAATCTCAAATTGCATCAAGAGTATTCTGATTAACACAATCAAGTACGAGGAAAAATGAATTATTTGTATGCAAAGTTACATGAGGGAATTGGGTAAAGGAGGAATCCAGTAGGATTATGGGCAATTTTATTATTATTTCTATTTGAGGAATTGATGATCCCATTAAATTTTGCATGTATTGAGGATAAGGAATATGCAAACAATTTGTTAAAATGATGATCTAGGAGAGAGAACGAAATTGTAGAAAAGTGCCTATGAGTTAGGTTTTGAACAAATTGGGGGGTTTTACAGATTGAGTTAAGATTCTATTAAATTGATTATTCAATAGGGTTTCATATTGATTTATAAATTTGGTTGTGATATTATTTAGTAAAATTGATGATTTAGATGATAATTGGATTCATTGGGATGTGCTCTGTAAGTTAGGGATCTTGTAAATTAATGAGCACCCTTAATTATATGAATTGATTAGTAATCGGAAGATTTTTCCTTGTAGACGTACCTTAGTATTTTTGTGGTATCTTTTTGGGTGATTAACCAAATCAATTTTCGTTTGTTGGGTTAGAAAGTAGACACTTGGGACTATAATTTATATTTTAGAATGGTGTAAAAATGTTAGGAATTGCTGGAGTTATGCGAGTTATAAGTTCACTCTCCATTCTAGTGCACGAAAGATTAAGTTTCATGTTGTCAGCCACGCGAGGTTAGTTCATATATGTATAATGATGAGATGTGGATTCATGGTGAATTGCTTAAGGGGTACGTGAACCATTGTTTTGTGTGGACTTATCTATATTGTGTATGTAATGTGGAATTGAGTTATGGACCGTGGTCTGATGTCTTGCCACAAATGTATACATATTGTATCTACCATTTTATGATTGAATTGATAGCATGATGTGGAGAATGGTACGTTATGGCTTAATTGTTCAATTAATTATGACGTCAGTATGTTGGCATGAAATGAGATGTTGTGTTGAATGTGAATGTGATGTGATTGTGGTTCCTCACACTTATGTTGGTGTACGACCTTGGGCAAGAGATGTTATAGGGGTGGCGTGAGAATGGCATAGGATGGGATGTGTGAGGCAATTAACATGTATGTCGGCATGACACGACCTTGGGCAAGAGATGCTACAAGGGTGGCGTGAGCACGACATAGTGTTAATTGCAATATTTGCGATGATTATGAATGAAATATGATTGTGGTTCCTCACATTTATGTTGGCGTGACACGACCTTGGGCAAGAGATGCTACAGGGGTGACATGAGCATGTCATAGTGTGAGATATGTGAGACAATTAACACGTATGTCGGTGTGGCACGACCTTGGGCAAGAGATGTTACAAGGGTGGCGTGAGCATGACATGTTGTTAATTGCAAGATTTGTGATGATTATGAATGAAATGTGATTGTGGTTCCTCACACTTATGTCAGTGTGGCACATTCTTGGGCAAGAGATGCTACAGGGGTGGCGTGAGCATGGCATAGTGTGGGATGTGTGAGGCAATTATCACGTATGTCAG